AGAAAGCAGGAACATTTTGCTGGTGTGACCACGGCCTTAGATGGCTGTACACAAGCAGGAACATTTTGCTGGTGTGACCACGACCTTAGATGGCTATACATGAGGTGTGTGTTTTTCAAAGCAAATTTGTCTGAAGATGTTTTCATGTGTGAAGCTTTCAAATTAAAAGAGAACATGTAATGAGGTGGTAGTAGAAAGGCATTTGTCGGAAACAGAAGGTTTTGATGGCAATTTGTGAAAATGCTTAGAACTTAATCTTTGTGTGTTGTCTCTTCAATTGGCACTACCTGCTAGTTTTGCCATTTCTTTATTTGACCTGTATATGGCCGGTCCTACCACAAGGCAGAATGAGGCAGTGGCCTCAGGTGGCAGATGAGGAAATGCAGCAGCAAGGTATTGAAGGAGGGTTTTGAGCCATACTGCCATCCCCAGTGCTAGTCTCCTGCTCTAGGTACAATGGAAAACTTTCTCCCATCACCAGCACTAAAGAACAACTCAACTGCTAATCTAGTTAGGTTTTGCACATATAATGAGGGGGAAAGCAATCTTTTTTTCATCTCAGGCCACAAAGCATCAGCGCAATCCCAGTCTTTTGTGCATCTTCCATTTGAGTATGGGGTAAGCCCTAAATAAGTCTTCCTTAACACGATGCTTCCCAGATGTGTTGGTTTGCAACACCAAATGTCCCTAAATAGTTATTGGTCATATTAGCTGGAGATTAATGGGAGTCATCATCTAAAATGTCTGGAGGGCTCTAGATTGTGGGGGTTAAATTAATTCTTGGTCCTGGCATTGTGTGAAGTGCTTTGTTTTGCCTTTCGTTTGTTCATTTGTTTCTGGGTGCAAGAATGATGCATGTACAGTATGTATGGTGCTGCATGACTGGTAAAAATATAGGACTTCACGTGTACTCTTAAAGACTCTGAACTAATCAAGGGAGAGATCTTGGGTATATGGTGGATGGCTCAGTGAAAACCTAAAATCACTGTGAGAAAGACACATTCCATGGCAAGGATCATTAGGGACAGGATGAGAGTTGCCAGGCCATCAAGATTCCTTTCCTTGAGATTCCAGGGGCAAAATCTGAGAGCTGGTGACCTAAAGCTTGGCAGTAATGAAGAGAACTGAAAAATGTATAGTTGGAATACTGTTTACCATACTCATCGCCCTATCTGAGAGTATCTGTTGACAAGTCTTGGGGCCCAAGTCCAAGTCTCATCTTGGGTACCAAGTCCTGAGTCTCAAGCTCCAAGTTGGAGTCTCTATTGAAAACAAGCTTTCCCCCCCAGAAAAAAAAGGGAAAGGGTGGGTTGGTTCCAAGTCACAAGTTGAATCCAAGTCATCGACACCCCCCAAGTCGAGTCACCAGTGCAACTTTACTCCGACGTGATAGCGAGTCCCATGACTGGAGTCTCCATCCCTGGCACCTGGAGCTCACAAATGTACAAAACAAGGGGATCCTTGATTGACCAAGTTCTTGAAGCACATTATTTAGAAGGAACTCTAAGGGGAAAAAGCCAATTAAAAGAGTGGAATGAGGAGACATTATAGAGGTGTCTAAAATTAGTAGATACCTAGTGTGGTGGAGTGGATAGAATGATGGAGTAGGAGAATTCCTGCTTGGACGTGGAAACTCATGGGAGGGGGTAGGACTGGTAAAACCAGTCCTTAAATACTTCATTTATCTTGAAAGCTCTATTAGGGTTGCTTGGTGATATGTGAAAACCAAACAATGCATGTTGTATCGAAGGTGGACCGAGGGCTCCATCACATGAGCCAAAAGAAAGGCTTTATTTTCTTGCCTTTTTGGAACTGATACATTTTTAAAGCCAGCCACGGAATATATACTGTATTGGTGAGTATGTTCACATTGTTATGAAAAGAATCGCTTCATTCGCAGCTATGTGAACCATTTTAGCAGACAACACTTGGGAAGTTTTTAAAATTGATTCTTTTTTTTTTGCGATGATTCTGGGTCAATGCTGGCCCCACCTCTCCCTTTAATTTTTTTTTTTAAAAAAAACATTGCCGATGTATCAAAAAAGTGTTTCAAGGATGGTGGCCATCCAGGGAAGGGAGGTGGGGAAAGGCTGTCTCCTTCTGATCAATCTACAGTGGGGTCTCTACTTAAGAACGTCCCTACTTAAGAACAATTCTACTTAAGAACAGCTCCGTTTGCTAAATTTTGCTTCTACTTGAGAACAGAAATCCTAGATAAGAACAGGAAAAAAAACCTTTCCTGCTCTTTTTTTAACCTTAGGTCATCTTAGGTTAAAAAAAATTCTCCCCCTAGTGGTAGAGTACGTATTAACCAGCTTTGCATTAGTTCCTATGGGAACTAATGCTTCAATGTACGAA